GCCGACCTGCGGCTCTGCCACAGCGTGGGCTACGACAAGATGGTGCTGCCCAACCTGCTGGACCACGAGACCATGGCCGAGGTGAAGCACCAGGCGAGCAGCTGGGTGCCGCTGCTCAACAAGAACTGCCATATGGGTACCCAGGTCTTCCTCTGCTCCCTCTTTGCCCCCGTCTGCCTGGACCGGCCGGTCTACCCCTGCCGCTGGCTCTGCGAGGCCGTCCGTGACTCCTGTGAGCCCGTCATGCAGTTCTTTGGCTTCTTCTGGCCAGAGATGCTCAAGTGTGACCAGTTTCCCCAGGATGACGTCTGCATTGCCATGACAACTCCCAATGCCACCGAGGTCTCCAGGCCCAAAGGTAAGGCATGGCCGGTGCTGCAGCCTTGCTCCTGGCACTGCTGTCTGAGCTGGCAGAGCAGCTGTAAGCCCAGGAGGGGCTGCGGGGGACCGAAGGGGGTCTTGCAGCAAGAGGAGGCTCACCTGAACTCTGCTTCTTGGCAGCAGCCCTCCTCCAGCCTCCGAGCACTCGCGGCACGCTCCTGTCCCCAGGAAGGCAGGATGCCCTGCCAGCTGCTCATCCCTGTCCCGGAGCCAAGCCTCGGGACAGGCTGTTTGGGGCACGGCGGGGGTCCTGGTGGGCCAGGGCCCGACCCTCCGTGCTCAGGTGCTGCGGTGCCCTGGCCGCGGTTCCGCTCCCCATCCCAGCTCCTGCAGGGCTGCTCCGGGCAGCAGGAGGGTGCGTGGCCCCCGCGGCACGAGGTGCTGGCTGGCTGCGGTCAACAGTGACTGTAGTTCTGGAGGGATCCCCCGCATCCCCTGCAGTCCTGGGGCAGGAGACGGGGCAGCCGGTGGCAGTGAGATCCAGCCCTGCCCTCGGGTGGGCTGTGGGCTGGAGCTGGGGCAAGAGACCTGCCAAGAAATGACCAGGGAAAGTGGACGTGGTTCGTGTTTGTTCCCATCGCGTGCGGCACGTTTCTGTGGTGCCAGACTGGCTTGTTTGTTTGAGTTGCAGTGAGTCTGGCTTGTTGCTGGAAACTTCACAATAAATAAATATCCTGATGTCACTTTGGCATTCGCTGTCGGAAACCGGGAGAGGCTGGAAGGAGGGATGTTTGTAGAGGGAGATGGCAGAGGGCTCTAAGAGAGTGCAGTGCTTTTTGGGGAGCAGAGCCTCATTGGAGGGGAGTGGCACTCCCGATTCCACGGGGCATAGTGCTGGTGCTTGGGAGGAGCTGGGGGTCGGGGGTGGGGGGCTGAACTGTTGCCGTGGTTTCTACACTGTGTCCAAAGCTACTCTGGAGGGGCAGCTGCCCTTTGCAGTTACCTGCACAGACAAAGGCTGTATGTGGTGCTGGGCTGGCAGCCCTCACCCAGCCGGCAGGGACTGCAGGGTCATCCTGCCCATCCTGGAGGGACTTACACTTCAGGGAGCCTTTCCAATACGGGGCAGAAAGGGGTGTCCTGCAGCAGAGGGGTCCCTAGGAGCCTTGTGGGGGCACATGGAGGGCTGTGGCTGTGGGCTGGCAGGCACGGGGGACACCCAAGCTTGGCACCCAGAGGAGCTCCGTGTCACATCTCACAGTGGCATCCAGAGCCAGGTGGAGTGTGAAGCCTGTGCCCGTGCCAGGGGCTGAGCTCTGGCTGCTCTCATTCCCAGCCTCTCCTGACACTGATGGCAGTACAGCCACACTGGCTTGCCCTTACTGGTGTGATTGCTGGAGGAAGCTCTTTGTTTTCCAGGAAGGCTCTAAAATAATATGTCCTGTGTGAACCTGGACCCTTGGTCAAGACCGCAGCCGTGTCTTGTGTTGCAGGTACAAAGGTTGCTTTTATTCCCCAGGGACTTGCAGCCAAGCATGCTCCTGGGGCAGCTGGGTCTGAGCTGCCCCTTCCAAGGTCCGAAATAGAGTCTGAGCTGTTTGCAAGTCATTCATTTTACAGACAATGAGCCAAGACCTGGGAACAGTCTTCTAGAGGAGCAGCATCGGCCAAGTTTTCCCATGTGTAGTTTTAACAACTTTCTGATCACCTTTCAGACCTGTCTTGGCAGCAGCACTGGGGTGGGACACTACTGCTTTCTTTTGGTGCTCCAAAGAGCTCAGAGTGAGCAGAGCAAAGTCCAAGTTAACTGCAGCCACTGCTGTGTTTTGAGCCAGCACCGCCGGCTCTCCTGCGCTCTGCAGAGGATCCGCCGGCAGCTCGGTGACAGCAGGGGCCAAACCTGTCACCTGGGCTCTGGCACTGCCACCTCCTGCAGATGCAGAGTCCTCCTGGGTGAGCTGCAGCTCAGCCCTTGTCCCTGTGCTGGTTGGGTCCTTCCCTCTGTCTGGGCTCTGCCGTGGGCTCCCTGTTTGTCTGTGTTTTCCACCAGTGCCAGCTCCTGGACCCGCTTTGCTTTTGGGCACTGGGGTGTTTCCCGTTGATTCAAAGAGGGTCAGAACCCAGCAGTGTCCCCCCTTTTCTCTCGGCACTAATAAGAACAAGTCCTTTCAGTATTTTTCCCCATTAACACCTTGAAATTGGAATTTGTTTCTGCCTCTCAAAGAGCTGACCTGTTGAATTCCTTTCTCCTTAAGCACAGGCGGTAAAGCCTGCAGGCCCACGGGATGCATCAGGGGAGTTGCAGATTAATACAGCATTACACATTCCTTCTCCTGCCCCTGGAGTAAGCTGGCTCTACAGCCAGGCATTGGAAAATGGTCAGCAGGGAACAAGCGAGCTGGAAGCAGGCTGAGGTTGTGCTTGGAGTCGAGCCTCAGCTGCAGACAGGCCCCAGCTGACCTGCAGTGGGCCAGGAGGGTGGGCTGGGGACCTCGGCCACGGTGCCTCAGGGGGACCGGGAGGGCAGGTGGGTTTGAGGTAGCTGTGGCTTTACAGAACAGCAGTTTTCTTGGGGTACAGAGCTGTGCCAGAGCTGGCCAGGCCTCTGTCATTCGTGGTCCTGACTGTGGTGTGATGTGGTGTCCCAGAGCAGGGGACAATTTCCCTCCCTGTTGGCATGGGACAGTGTCCCCTGCACGTCTGTGCTGTGACAGGGCTGCAGGAGGCAGGGCTGGAGGGTGGGTCGATGTAGATTGGATAAAAGGAAGTTTTTTTGCAGTGAGGATAGTAGAACGCTGGCACAGGTTACCCAGATATGGCAGGAACCCCCCCTTGTTCCTGAGGGTGGTCCCCAGCACAGTGATGAACTCCTGGCTCTGCAGCAGATGGAGCCCTGGGGCTGTCTCCCTCCTGGGAGCACCCTCTCTCCCTTGTCATGAGCTCATTAAATGTGTGGCCTGGAAGAAAATATTCTGACTGCTGATTTTAAAAATAAAGTGTTGGGGATGTCATCGTGTCCCCAGAGGTTGGCCTCTGCCTGTGTCACTCTGAGTTAAGATGGTAATGGTGGCAATTGCACGTTAGGGTTTTGGAAGAGGAGGTTACCCAGGTGATGGGCAGATCCCACAGGTACAGAGGTACCAGGAGTGGGACTGTGCAGTTGACTGTTGCTGCTGTGAAGGCTGACTTGTGACTTGCACAGAGGGGCGAGCAGAAGGCCAGTTGCTCTGCATGTGTGATTAATAAAGTCGTGGTGCATGTCCCCAGGAATTAGCATTTGGCACAGAACAGATTTAGGGGTGGTGAGAGGGGAAGAACAAGCCACAGAAAACAAATGTCTCGCCTGAACCCCTGTGGGGCCTCTGTGGCTGAGGAGACATGACTCTGTGGTCGTGGCCGTGCCCCTCTCGCCAGCTCTGCCCTCTCTTTCTGGGACACCTCTCTGCTTTTTCAGTGCAGCAGTGCTGTGGGTTTGCTGGCCTGGCTGAGGGCTGGGAGGCCGCTGCTCTGCACGCAGGGACTGGCAGATGTTTTGCTGCAGCGTTGTCCCCGAGAGTAACTCCCTTGTGTGGGAAGAGCCCTCCATCCTGCTGGACCAGGAACAAGCAGCATCTCCCGGCTCCATAAATTCATCTGCCAGTAGCGCGAATCTGCGTCTGTGCTGCTGGGTGGTCTCTGCTCTGGCTGCAGGCGGGAACCTGGAAACAGATTCTTATTCTCTGGGTGCAGTGAGCTTTCCTCCCAGGACATGTCCCAGTGAAACCTCCTGGGCTGGTGTTTCCCAAGAGGCAGATGCTGGCCCCTGCCCAGGGCTGGCGAGCTCTGCTCCTCTGCAGCCGAGAGGCTGCGCTGGGCTCAAAACAAAGAAGCAAAGAAGACCCTGCTCTGGGACAGGGTGGGAGGGAGGGCAGTGAGGGGCTAGCCAAGCGCTGCCTGGGCAGCCTGCAGGGTGGTCCCCAGCACCCAGGGGAACACTGTGCTGAACTGGGCTGTCCCAGTCCTGAACCCCCTGCCTGGCACTGGGGTGGCCCCTTGGGGTGTGAGCCATCCCTGGGCACCATCCTCCTGCTGTGCTGGGGTTGGGGCACCGTGTGCTCACCTGGGCATGCCAGGGGGAAGGAATGTCAGCAGGCTGTGGGCCAGGCTCCCCTCAGCTGAGTGCCTGGTCCTGAGAACTGTTCTCCCTGCCAGGGCTGTCCTCTTGCTGTTGGCAGCTGCCTGCCCCTGCCCGTGTCTGGCCTTGGGGCCACTGACAGCATTGGAGTGGGGTTGGCAGGAGGCTGCCTGTGGTCAGCGCTGCCCTGTGATCTGGTGTAGGGCTCCTGGCCCCAGGCAGGGTGTTGTCCTGCAGAGCTGGGAGCTGGGAACCCGGGCAGGGTGCCTGGCACGTGCCCCCCTCGAGGGCAGCGGTCTGGCAGCGTGGGCAGCCTGGCTCTGGTGCTTCTCGAGCTGGCTTTTCACT